CAGCACCTTGCACTTGTCAGTGTTGAAACCCATCCTGTTCTCATCCGCCCACCCCTGTAACCTGTCTAGGTCAAATTGCAGCCTATTCCTCCCTTCTAGCATGCCCACTTCACCCCACATCTTAGTGTCATCTGCAGATTTGAATAGGGTGGTTTTACCCCCTCGTCCAAGTCACTGATAAAGATGTTGAACAGTGCGGGTCCAAGGACTGAGCACTGGGGAACCCCACTGCCCACATCCCTCCAGGTCGAATGAGATCCGTCCACCACCACTCTCTGGGTGCGACCCTCCAGCCAGTTAGTGACCCATTTGACTGTGTAGGTGTCGACACCATAGACCCCTAGTTTTTTAATGAGAATGGGGTGAGAGACAGTGTCGAAGGCCTTCTTGAAGTCCAGAAAGACTACGTCCACTGCTACCCCTGCATCTGAGGATTTTGTGACCTGGTCATAGAAGGTAACCAGGTTGGTCTGACAGGACCTGCCTCTAATGAACCCATGTTGGTTGCCCCTAAGCACAACCTCCCCTGCTGGCCCCTCATGGACATGCGCCAGGATAATTCTCTCAAAAAGCGTATCCAGAATCGAGGTAAGACTAACTGGCCTATAGTTTCCTGGGTCCTCCTTCCTCCATTTTTTGAAAATGGGAACCATATTGGCCCTTTTCCAGTCCTCTGGCACCACACCAAAGCACCACGAGTGCTCGTAAAGTCGTGCCAGGGGTCCTGCAGTGACCTCTGCTAATTCCCTCAGCACTCTGGGGTGGAGGTCGTCAGGACCAGCTGATTTAAATATGTCCAGTCCCTCCACAAATTCCCTGACTAGATCCTCGCTGACCATGGGCCTGGGTGCACCTCCCCTGGGGCCTGAGGGGGTCCCAGCGGACAGGCTGATCTGGCCCCTGTTAAGGAAAACAGAGGCAAAGAAATTGTTAAATAGGTTAGCCTTGTCGTCTGGTGAGACGACCAGATTTCCTAGCATGTCTTGCAGAGGCCCCACGTTACCAGGTACCTTCTTTTTGCTCCCTATGTATTTAAAAAAGGACTTCTTGTTGTCCTTAATCTGGGTAGCTAGTCCCAGTTCCATCTCCGCCTTTGCCTTCCTGACCGCCCCCCTACAGCCCCGAGCTACCGAGGTATAGTCTTCCCTGGTGATGTCCCCTCCCTTCCATTGGGTGTACGCCTCCCTTTTAGCCAGGAGATGTTCCCGTATGCTTTTGGTGAGCCATGGAAGCTTTTGTGCCCTCTTGCCCCCCTTTGACCCTTGTTGGGATTACCTCCCTTTGGGCATGGAGGATCGTCTCCTTAAGGATCAACCACTCCTCTTGGACACCCGACTCCCCTCCCCTCCGGGACCTCAGTACTTCCCCAACTATTCTTCTTACCTCACAGAAATCCACCCTCCTTAAGTCCATGGCTGCTGCCTTGCTGCTGGCTTTTGCCACTTACTTGCTTAGCTCTGACAGCAGTGAACACTGCACCCTGAGTGGCTTGTGGGATGGGAGTTGAGAGGGCTGGCTGGCCACTGGGGAGATGGAGGGGTGGTCTGAAGAGAGCAGCCGCAGAACTGAGACTAGTGGCTGGGTTTTCTCCATCACTGGGGCTGTGCAGGGAAAACGTACAGAAGTTCCATGCACTGGTTTGCCCTAAATAGAATAAGTTTGATACTACATAGATCCAGGTTTGTCTTACACTGAGTTCTGCAAGTTTTAAACTGGTTTGTGTGCATGAAACTTCTGCACAGTTACAGGTGTAGATTGATTGCTAGTCCCTGAGACCGGGTCTATAAGCATAAGCGTAAGGTCAGCACCAGGTCAAGCTAAGTTTAAAATCAGGCAGCCATTCTGAACCTGATTTAACCTTCCCAAATGTTTGTACTTAGCCAGGGAGAATACCAAGCCAATTTGTCAACTGTCATTTTACACTACCATTTTAAAATACGTACAAGTGCTTACAGAATACTTTTTTTTTTTTTTTAATCTGAATTCAACAGCCAGTCATTGTCAAGAAAGCATTCTACTGTCTTCATACCACCTTAATTAGTAGTAAGTTAAGTGTGTGTTTTCATCGACAATGTATTTCAATAGTACTTGTATTGCATTTTTAGGAATTCTGTAGACATTCTACTTTGGCCAAGTTTTGCTGGAACATATATTTTTAAAACACCCACAAACACATTTGTTTTGGCAAAAGGACAAGAGTTGAGACAGTTATACCAGCACAAAAAAATGCTGGTGTTGAAAAAGCAATAGTGAGCAAAAATCTGTTTTCAAAAGCATTTTTGCAAGCAACTGCCTCTGTATTAGGAAGGTTTTACCAGTATCTCTATCAAGCAATTAATGTTAGCACAGCATTAAGCTGTTAAGCAGAGATAAGCATCAAGAATAAGAGAAAGAAAACTTCAAAACAAAGGTCAATATTTAACAGATTTACTTTCTCCCAATAGGCTCCTGCAACTCTTAATTGTGTTTCTATCATCACAGTGTAACTCCAACTGAAATATGACAACAATCGACTGCAGAATCTGAGAATTTAATAAGGATCCTAATATTTAAATTCATCATTTGTCTGAAGAATTTACTCCTAGTATTCAACAATCAGGTGTGCCCATCCAAGTTACCTGTCATCAAGTATAGTTATAAGTTCTCCAGCTTTAAATGTTAATTCATTATCTTCAGCAGCCTCAAAGTCATAGATAGCACGAACTTTCCGGCCCTCATGTTTGTGATTTGTTAGGAGACCTGAAGTGCTCGGATACAAACTGGAAAGTGTTGTTTGTTGTTGCCTTTGTTCTTTTAGTGATAATTCAATGGCTACAAAAGATAAGTTATTTTTTATTAAAATTCACAGCTACAGAAGTAATAATTCAAAAATTTTACTTAGTATAAGCTTTAAATACAACTATGAATGTGTTACGCAAGATAGAAGTTCTGTCTTTCATTTAGAAATAACCATATGGAACAAAAACCTAACTCATGTGAAAGCTAATGAACATAATGCTACTCACAATGAAGACACAGGAGCTTCATCCCGGTGCTCAAGAAGTCAGGATCAAAATCAGTAACTAATATTTAAACATAAAAGGCCTGATCCAATGAAGTCAGTGGAAGTTTGTCCACAAGATCAAATCTGACATTCATAAATGCAACATGTTCAAATCAGTATTTTTCTTTGGATACATACAAGTTCCAATATTTTAAGTTTAACATTTCAAACAGCATTTTCTAAGACAGAACTACTGCAGCACATGGTAGCTCTGTTAGGAGTTTTAAAACCCTACTCAAAGTTTTTAGGATGGCTACTGGGCATTTAAAGTAAATCTAAGTTCAATTATCTAACAGAAAACTCCTTAAAAATGCCAAGGTCAAATTCAAAAATTGTATTAGTTTACTGAATACATAGATTCTATGTAACCACTGTCAGGTTGCTTAGTTGTATAGTAACTTGTCCCCAGTGCCTGCTGCAGATTTAAATCCATAAGCCATTCTTCTAGCATTGCCACTGTTTCCATATTAAAAGCCAATGACTGGGTTGGGGAAGATCAATGCATAAGAATGATCCTACCATTGTGTAGGCATATGACATACCATCATATTCCTTGCTGTCATAGTAAGCAGACAGAGAGATACAACATTACTGAAAAGGAGCTATGATAAAGGACACCACAAACCATGGCAATTCTGGAAAGAAACTGATTTGTTTATATGTACACACTGAAAAATTGTCAATATTTTTCATAGTTTTTAAATATGTAAAAATAGAAAAACTTCAGCCCACAAACACAGTTCACAAAGAACAGGAGGCAAAAAAGGAGATGAGACTAAGTTTCATAAGCATAATGAAGTGGCACTTATCTAGTAATATATAAAGAAGTCAAAAAAGCTACTCACCCTTTGCTAAATCTTCCTCCTCTTTTTTATTAGCTACTGTACCAGGATCTTTGGCTACTAGAGCTGGACTTGCCTTTGCTTGTTCTGCAGCCTAGCCAAGCAACACAAAAGTGGATAAATGGTAACATATTTTACAGTATATATTAAACTCACTATGTGGATCATTTAAAAATCTAACATGAAATCACAGAATTGAATTTTTTAAAAGACCATTCAATTTTTAAGACAAACTTTAAAAAATTTTAAATCTTAAAAATTATATAAAAACATTGACAGTTAATAGAAATTATGTAAGTTCTCAGTATTACACATATACCACTTTAAGAACCCAGAAATATTAGCATATTATACCTGTGAACCAATAGCTGGGAAAGTAACACCTTGTTCCTTAAGATTTTTTATCATAGCAGATATTAGACTAAGCTGTGGGTCATTCTTGAATTCATCAGTCCATTCCACCATGAGGGCTTTCAGCTTTTCACAAACTTTTGGATGGCCCTAGAGAACACCAGAAGTTACTTATTTAAGAAAATTTAACTGCAGACTTCTAGCAGAATATAAAGTAATCAAATTGATGTTTGCAAAATTCTCTTCATTTCCTAGATGAAACCAATATCCTGCTCCATTATATAAAACAAAGATTAAAAGGCAAAGAATCCCTTAAATCAGAGCTCTCCAACTTTAGAGTGGCCAGGGACAGCACGTTATACCAGTTATGGGCCTCAGACCCCACACACACACACACACACACACACACACACACACACACACACACTGCATAAGCTGCATGTTGCACAGACTTCCAGGACACCCTACCATTGCTGCACTAACACCCCCACTACCCCCAAACAATGCTGGGAAATGAGCCCATGCTTCCCCTACCTCAAACCTCCCTGATGCTGCCACTGAAGGGCAATTCCCACCCTCTCCTCCTTCGCACCACATGGGCTGCACAAGCAATTTCTAATCCCTAGAAGCACATATTCCACAGTTCATCTCCTCCCATTTATTTTAAATTCTATCTTGAAATCCTACCAGTCAACACTCTAAGTTACCTTATTCAATACGTTGCTTACTTCACTGGCAAAATCTCTTGAACACACTTCTAAATGAAATATTTTACCACAGTTTGATACACATGCTCCTAGAAGCTGAAAAGGGGAGGAAGGGGAGAGAGAGATTAAAACCAGGTCACGTGTTTTACAACATACTTGCATGAAGGAAAATAAAGGAAGAAGCCACCTACTGTCAGTGCCTGCATAGCAACATGAGGATCCTTATGGTTCACTCTCTTCATAATAGACCGAAGACAATCCTTAGGCCTATTAATACAGAAAATTTCAGAGCTTTTAAATAATATAATGAAACCATATTTCTTGCCATATAAAAGAAAAAAACCTAAGGAAAATAAGTTTGCCCATATGAGTCAGTAAGTTATATAAAAAAATTGGAACCAAAAAAATAATAATAATTTAACAACTACTGTATACGAGGACTGCTAGATTTCTTAAATTATAAAAGTCCTCCCATTAAACTAAAAGCATTTAATCTCTTGAGTTATAATTTTGTACAGCCCATCTATACGAACAAACTTCCATATTTTGCATACATTCCACACATATTGGAAATCATGGAGATTTCCATGAAGAACAATGTTTAGAAAGATTAATTTAGTTACAGCCTCTTCAGATTTTTGCATGAACAGAAATCTTATCTCAATAGGCAGTCTTAATATGAATACCACTTTCTGCTTGCATCTATACACAAGATAGAGCGAGATGAATAAGTGCTGTTTCAATAGTAATCTGATAAAAATCAATATACAGACAACGATATGCTGGACATTTCAAACTGTAACATCAATGGTATATTGCATGTGAAATGCAGTCTTCAGTTGGTCTAGTTATGCCTTTTGTCCCCTCAGATGAAAACTACAATGAACATACTACTAAAACACATATTTGGCCACTAGTCTTATATTGTTATTAGTACCTGGACTAGGCATGACATTTATCCTGGTGTAAACAAAACTGGACACACTACATACAGGCGTATATCAATGCAACTTATTTGAATATGGGGTAATATTACCACAGGAAATACAAGTTAGGGGTAAAATTACCCAAGCATGTTATACAGGCATGCAGGGAAAAAAAATCAGGAAGGCCATGATTTAAGATGCAACTGGCAAGGAATGTAAAAAGCAATAAAAGGAATTCTACAAATATGTCAAAAATAAGAGGAAAACCAAAGAAAGTATAGATCCCTTACTGAATGCAGAAGGCAATCTAGTTACAGATGCTGTAGAGACGGCTAAAGTATTTAATGCCTTTTTTACTTCAGCCTTCACAAATGGGGTAACCACCAGAGGATGAGTGCAGCTGGCAACAAAGATAGTAAAGGAGACAAACAAACTACAGTAGTGGAAGAACAGGTTAGGATTTATTTAAGATATGCAAGATGCTTTGAGATACTGAAGGAATTATTTAAGGTAGTTTCAGAGCTACTAGCTATCCTCTCTGAGAACTTGGAGGAGTTGGGCAATGTCCCGAATGTATAGAAAAGGGCAAATATAGTACCTGTCTTTAAGAAAGGAAAGAAGGGGGAGCCAGGGAATTATAGAGAAGTCAGCCAGACCTTAATACCTGGAAAGATCATGGTGCAGGTCCTCACAAAATCTATACTGAAGCACCCTGAGAAGAACAAGGTGATCAGGAACAACCAGCACAGATTCATGAAAAGCAAGTCATGCCCGATTTCTTTCTATAACAAGGTGACAGGCTCTGTAAGGTGTTGGGAGAGCGGTGGATATAATATACCTTAGATTTTTAGCAAGGCATCTCTCACTGACTACCATAAGATTCTCATAAGCAAGCTAAGGAAAAAGAAACTACTTTAAAGTACTGTAAGGTGGACACATGGCTGGTTGGATTATCATACTCAATATGTAGTCATCAATGGCTCAACCACTGCAGTAAACTATAAAGCTCAATACAAGCCAACAGTGGGCTTGCTCCAAAAATGCCAGCAGTCTACTGGCTTGTATCAACAGGAGTGCGACTTGCAAATCAAGGAAAGTGATCTTTCTCCTCTATTTGGCACTAGAGGTCTCACCTGGACTAACGCATCTAGTTTTGGGCCCCACACTCCATTGCGCTCTTCCCAAATTGTCCACATCCTTATTTTGGAGAGCAACAAAAATGATATGGGGCCTGGGAGATGAGACTTATGAGGAAAGGCTGAAAGAACTCGGGTCATTTAGTTTGGGAAAGAGAAAATGGGGGGGAGGAGGAGGGAGAGGAAAGATTTTGAGAACAGTCTTCAGTTTTGCTTGACAGATGATAAAGAGGATGGAGATAGACTTTTCTCTGTATCTGTAGGGGATGGGACTAGAAGAAATGGCCTCATATTGCAGTGAAGGACATTTATGATGAAGATTAGGAGGAACTTTGATTTGTAGTTGACAGTGGTTAAAAAGCTCCAGCTCCCAGCCACCTTCCATGCACTCAGCCCACCTGCAGGTGTCTGTTCATCATGCCAGGTGGAAGTGGCATGGAGTGGGTGGAAGACAGCAGCAGGGAGCTGAAGCTGGAGCCCACATGCTGAGGCAAGTCACCTGGAGGCAGCTTTCCCCTTCCGTGGCTGGGCATCTGCTGTCTAGCACGTATCCCCACAGCCAACATCAGGAGCAAAGCAGGAGCAGCCGCTGGAGCAGGGTGGGTCTGAGCAGTATCTGGAAGGCTGTGCCAGCCAGGGCCAGGGCTGTACCGTCTGGCAGACACTGGGTGGACGCAGGTGGGAGCGCAGCACAGGCTGTCCCAGGTGGGGGTTCGGCCTCATGCAAAGCATCGTGGGACAGGCATGGGCTGGAATGGGGGTGAGGGGACCCAGACTGCACCTGCTGTGCACCACCCAGGCAAGCTCTGCTGCATGTGCCCCCTGTCACCCCCATTCCCCCCCCCAACCTTAGTGCCCTGGCAGCCCTCCACACACACAACCCCCCACCCTGCCGCTGCAATATGCAAGAGTAAGACTTTATTTTGAGCTTAGGCAATTGCCTCTATATACAGTACTCAAAAATAAACAAAGCAGGACAAAAATATTTTTTTAAATAAAATTAAAATGTTACAGATTTCTAATTTTTAGTAGTATGTGATTAGTTTTTAATCAATAATTTATTTAAAATGTTATTTTCTCGAAGACTGTGTGTGAGGCCCTTGACAACTCACCAAGACCTGTTAAGAGGCCCTCCAGCTGAAATAACTGCCCACCCCTGTGCTATTGTATGTACCCCTACCAAGTGGCAAGGCCCTGTAATTGCACCTTCTGAAAGCACCTACCCCTGGATCTCTGTTCATCTGTCCCCTCTGGGGCTTGCTGTAATTTATCAAAATCATGCAAATTACACTGACATAAATGTGTCATGTATCCAGGCCCAAAAGGTCATAAGTACCTGGCAACATGTGCCTAAGACTGGCGTGTATCAAATTATAATATGCCTTAAGAGAAACACTTGTAAACACGTCAAAAGACAATCCATTACAGCAAGTTATTTTTAAGCAAACATGTCTTG